TGCTTCGTCAGCAGCGTCCCCAGGCCCACCATCAGCGCCATCGTCAACCACCATGGCCGCCCCATTTTGCACAGCCCCAGCCTTTCGAGCCTCGAGTTGCGCCTCCAGGGCAGAGATGCGAGCCTGGGCCCTCGTGAGCTCAGGATTCGACTTGGGGCCCCCAGGGTCCTCAGCCCACGGTGGCTTTCTTTTACCCTGAGGAACGAGCAAGACGGAGGAAACACGGTCAAACTCATGATTCCGAAGGAAACACGACCCCTTATGGAGGCGACATCCTCGACCACGAGTGTTCGACGCAAAGTTGCAGAGAGGTTTCCCAAAATGGTAAGTACAAGACTTGTACACCCAATATTGTTGATACCTCTGTGCCATTTAACGGCAGACGAGCACCCAGAACAAAGCGTCTATCAGGGCCTGGAATAAAAGTTAGAAAAGAGGCGGGCCGAACGAGGTTCGGTCACGGGTTCTGTGAGAGCAAATGGGGCCATTTGTCCTCCTGCCAAAGAGCTCCTCGTCCTGAGCGAAGCACTACGGACTTGAGCCAAAATGGCTACGGATCTCCTCCTCCTCCTCCTCCTCCTACTCCTCCTCTTCCTCCTCCTACTCCTCCTCCTCCTCCTGCTCCCCCTCCTTGTCCTTTCTTCCTCCTCCCTCTCCTTGTCCTTTTCTTCCTCGTACCCCTCCTCCTCTTCCCCCTCCTCCTCCTCCTCCTCCTCCTCCTCCTCCTCCTCCTCTCCCTCCTCCTCCTCCTCCTCCTCCTCCTCCTCCTCCTCCTCCTCCTCCCCCCTCCTCCTCCCAGTCCTCCTCCTCCTGCTCACACCACCACCACCACCACCATCTCCACCTCCCCCACCTCCACCTCCACCTTCACCTCCACCTCCTCCTCCGCCTGTTCCTCCTCCTCCTCCTCCTACTCCTCCTCCTCCTCCTGCTTCGCCTCCTCCTCTCACGCCTGCCACTCCCCCTGGAGGGCGCGCTCGCCGGGGTGTTGGGATCCACGGGGCGCTGGAACTCCTCCGCTACGAGCTTTGCAACCTGCCCGGCGTCGGCGACCGGGGCGACCAGTGGATGGGAGATACAGGGCAAGCATTGCGAACACGTCCAGATTGACACGCGTAAAAACTAGTTCTGAAGCATTACGAACTAATGCGCAATGGCAGCGATCACGGCTTATATGATAAAAAACTAGACGTGCTTACGTGCGTACATACGGGAAGAGCAAGAAGAAGAGCAGCACGCAGGGGAAGAGTAGGACGAAGAGGAGGATCGGCAGCAGCAGCAGCAGCAGAACAAGCATGATGAGCAAGGGGTAAAACAAGTGTACGGAGGCAATTAGAGGGAATGGGAGGTGATGCGGGGGGCGGGAGAGAGCAGAACTAGGTAAGATATGACGGGAAAAGGGAGGCAGGAGATGTCATGTGGGACAGTCGGGGAAGGTGGGGAAGAGGGGAAGAGAGGCCGGGGCAGAGGAGGAACCGGTAAGGGCACCGAGGAAGACCCAAACCGCACAAGCCCTGCAGGCCGAGCATGAGCTCTTCCAACCCAACCCCTTCATTTGGAAGTACGACATGAGATAACCAAAACACGAGTACCGCATGCGCGGTCAGAGTGCTGCCACACAGCAACGAGCCCCACGGCTGACATGGACCTCTCTGGCTGCCGGGCCAGCCGCGGCAGGCCTCGCGGGCACGACGCCGGCACAGACCCCCCCTGCTCCCTTCGGGTAAAGGTAAGCCCCTCCCCTATTGACCACTCTTGGGGGTCCAGACCAGGGTTCGCGAAGCGTTGAAGCGTTCAAGATAGCCCAGGAGGTGTGCAGGATGGCCCCAGGACAACCCAAGATGGCCTCCGAGGCGGCGCAAAATGGCCCAATCTGGTGGTCCCACGATGCCTGCGGGAAGACCGAAGGCGGCCCCAAGATAGCTCGAGGTGGCCACGGAGCTCCTCCTCCTCCTCCTCCTCCTCCTGTTCCACTTCCACCTCCTCCTTCTCCTCCTCCTCCTCCTCCTCCTCCTGAGGCTGCCCCCGAGAGGTCAAACTCACAGAGGATAAAAGAAGAATTATGCTCAGTGGGTCTTGCCCTCTCGCCCACCCCGCTCGGCTCGGAGACCTCAGATGGGCCCCAAGATGGCCCAAGAGCAGGAGGGCCCCGCCAGGCAGGAGAGCCCAGAATCGAACCAATGAGTCAGATCGGCGATCGAAATACATCGGGTCGTTGAAAATCGGCAGCCGAGTCGGAGAAGCCGAATCGGCGGAAATCGGCAGAGCGGCAAAGCCTCCGTGAAAAACCGAAACCCAAGTCGGAGTCCGAAATCGAATCAACTCGGATTCGAAATCGGTCGAAATCGAATCGAATCGAATCGGAGGGCTCCGAGCGGTGAACCGCAAATTCTGACCACCCTCTCTGTTTGACCGATACCCTCCGGGACGGCCCGAATGGATCCCCAAAGGGACCCAGGAGAGCTCTTAGAGGGTCGCATGCCATCTGTTTCTTTCGCCGCAAGTCTTCAATATGCTGCAAGGCCATCATGTGTGGCAACGCTGCAATGCAACTGTTCAAGGCTCGGTTGGCCTCGTACCTGGGCTCTGGCCCGTTTGGCCCCGCGTGATCCTTGGAAGCGTTGATGTTGAGACTGTACTTCCGAGTGGCTCGACGTGGTGCTTCAGTAAAAAACAACGCCTGTGCAAGCAGTGGTGCTATGGACCAGCCCACACCCTCCATCAATGCTCAGCAGCGAAATCAGAAGACGACGCAGATCCACTGGCCCTGGATGGCTTGTGCCCAGGGATTGCTGAAGTCTGTATTGAACAGAACGAGGGTGTCCTCCCCGTTCGGCTGGGGGACCCCAATATCATCGAAGTTATCTACGTAACTGGCCAGATCGAGAAGGCAGCCACCAGCCACGATGTCCGAGCTCAGAACAGGGACCGAAGATGCATCCTGATCCTCAGAGAACGCATCAACCTCGGCCCTGATGCCCTGCAGGTTCCCTACCAGCACCAGCTGCTCGATTGCCTCCCTTGCACTGCTGTGGTGGCATGATATCCTCAAGACCTGGCCCGTTGGCCACGCACCCGAAGCCAGGGTCGCGGAGCAACGCGTATGACCTGGGGCGCTTGCACACGTACTGCGTCTCTGGCAGGCCTACCGTTTGACTCGCCAGCTGCGGCACCTGAAACCCACTTCCGTCAAACACGCGCTGGCCATTCCGTGTGTCACGGATGCAGCCGCTAGCCGTCTGGCTCGAGGCGACAAACTCCTCCTCCGTGGTATCACTCAACACTTCGATCTCGGAAAATGCCTGTCGGCAATCGTCGAGTGTGGTGATGTCTGCATAGCACACTTCGATCTCGGAAAATGCCTGTCGGCAATCGTCGAGTGTGGTGATGTCTGCATAGCCGGAAGTCTGGCAAGAAACTGCTGCGTTTGGAAGAAGCACGTACTCGCTGCGTTTGCAAATGTATTGCGTCTCGGGCAAACCGATGTCTGGCAGCTCTGGCGTCTGGCAGATGCAGTCGCTCGCTGCTTGACTCGAGGCGACGAACTCCTTCTCCGTGGTGCCGAGTAGCTCGTCGATCTCCGAGAACGCCCGACGGAACTCGTCGCACGTGGTGATATCCTGCAAGCCCGCATCAGAGCAGGTCTGCCTTGCCCCTCCAGGCAGGACGGCCCGAAAGGATCCCAAAAGGGACCCAGGGGAGCTCCAAGAGGGTATCAAAGGCCTCCAAAACGGCCCCAAGTTGCCATCCCTCGGACGTCCATTCCCCGTGCATGATTCGGTGTCGTGCGCTTTGTTTCCCCAAGCTGATCCTAGATGTCCCCAGATGGTCCGGAGTTTCTGGCGCTGGCCTCGCCGAAGAAACAATGCACATGTCCGAGCTATGCCAGGCCAAAGAGCACCCCAACATGGCCCCAATAACACATCCGAGATGACTCGCATGGGTCCCCGAGGCGGCCGTTGACGGGGGCTCCTACACCCTGCGAAATGCTTAAGAAATCATGGGTTAAGAAATTCATAGTCTCAGAACTTGAATAAAAACCCGGAAGTTCTATTAAAATCTTGAGATTTACATTGGAACATTAAGAATAATCGAGACTCTGGCCGAAAACTTAAGTTTTCTTAAGCATCGCCTAAGGTGTAAGGCTCATCCTGGTTTCGACTTGAATGGCATCCCTCATCTTTGTTTCAAGGGTTCCTCAACTACCGTCCTCACGACAGCTCGCCTCGCAATCGTGTCGGGATAGGCTGGTAGGCATACGGAAAGCGCCAAGGCTTGCCGATGCGTGAGTAGAGACGCGAGGCTCGTTCTGCTGCACGCTCCCAGCACAGGCCAGGCAGAGCCTCGTGCTTCTCGCGGTTCAGCTCCTCGCGGCCAGGGGGCACACTCTCCTGCTGCTCCTCCTCCTCCTCCTCCTCCTCCTCCTCCTCCTCCTCCTCCTCTTCCTCTCCTCCTCCTCCTCCTCCTCCTCTCCACCGCCTCCTCCTCCTCATCCTCCTCCTCTCATGGTCCTCCTCCTCCTCCTCTCTCCTCCTCCTCCTCCTCCTCCTCCTCCTCCTCCTCCTCCTCCTCATCTCACTCATCATCAATCATCATCATCATCATCATCATCATCCATCAATCATCATCATCATCTCATCATCTCATCATCATCATCATCATCATCATCATCATCATCATCATCATCATCATCATCATCAATCATAATCATCATCATCATCATCATCATCATCATCATCATCATCATCATCATCATCATCATCTCATCATCATCATCATCATCATCATCATCATCATCATCATCATCATCATCATCATCATCATCATCATCATCATCATCCGTAGCCATTTGGGCTCAAGGTGGCGCGATCAGGGCAGATGTCTGGTCTCATGAGGCTGGCTCTAGCCGTCGCGTCCATTCTTGGGTCAGATTCCCAATATTCCAAGCTTTCAGTGAGGCCTTTTGGGCCACAGTTCTTTCCATATTACATCACCGACACCCGGCCCCAGTCGCCCGATTGGGAGTCCAGCCGCGGCGGGCTCGACCAATGGCAGGACGTGGAGGTGGTGCTCGTGGTGCCGCGCGCGGTGGCGGCGGCAGAGCCAGTAGCAGCCGTGGACAGCGGGGCGGCCAAGCTCCAGGCGCGGGCGGCAGCGGTGCAGCGCCCAGGGTCTGGGATTGCCCTCAGTGCGGAGCCAAGAAGAATTGGGGCTCTCGGCACGTCTGCAGGAGTTGCGGCTACGACTGGTGGGAAAGCGGTTCTGGTACGAGTTCTTGGTGGAGTGGCATGTCACAACTGGACGCCAGAGAACGCCACGAGCTCAACCAGTTGCGGAGGAAGGTCAAAAAGTTGGAGGCCAGCAGCCAAGCAGGACCAGGAGTCGATGGCGGTGGCGCTGGGGCGGCAGGCGTCGGGTCGCAGCCGGACGACAAGTCTGAACGTGTCCGCCGATTGGGCAAGCTACGAAGTGAGATCAAGAAGATCGAGGGCGTGGACGGCGCGGAGGCCATTCTCGAATCCAAACGGCATGAGGCGCAGCAGTTGGAGAACGAGTTGGCAGCAACCAAGCCCACATCAGTCCAGCTCAGCGAGTTGGAGCGCAAGCAGAAGAACCAGGAGGCCACCACGGCGGCCTTGGCGAGCAGGATCTCGGCGGCGGACAAGCAGCTTGCTGAACTACAGGCCCACAAGCTCGAGCTGGAGGGCAAACACGCGCAGAGTCAGGCCGGCGAGAAGGAGCTCCAGGCGCTCATCGACAACCTCCTGGCGCAACAGCTCCGCGAGCGTGAAGCACAGCAGCGGGAGGAAGGGCCGCGAGGGACGGTTGCCCCAGCGTCCCCAGGCGCCCAACTCAGCGAGGGGGAGCGAGCCACCGCTTTCCTCGCCGCTCTTAACCAGTGCTCAGGCATGCTCGCCCCTGGCTTCGCTGAGCAATGGGACGGCCAAGTCGCAGAGTTGCGGCGTCTGGCACAGCGCGTTGCCACAGCAGGTGCCGCGGCGGAGCGCGACGGGAGCGGCGACGAGCAGGAGATCGACGAGAAGGACGTCGACGTCATCCTGGACTCCCTGGAGGAAGAGGCCACCGAGGAGGGGGCAGCAGAGGCCGCGGCGGGCGAGGTGGGCAACGGCGAGGCAGCAGGCGACGCCGCAGCCAAGGCCGCCGCAGCCGCCGCCATGCGCAAGCTTCGTGCCCAGAAGCTCCTCCAAGGCCTCCGCTCCGCGGGGATACGCAGAAGGGGGAAGCGGGGGTAGCCGCCCCCACTTCACCATCGTGAGCCTCAACGGCAGCGGATGGGGCCCCTTCACCACCATCCTCGGCGAGCAGCAGGACCCACAACAGCAGGCGGTGGCGGAGGCTCACCTCGGCGACGCACTGTGCATCCAGGAGCACCACCTCAACGGCTACCGCGCCGCGGAGCAGGAGCAGTGGTGTCGGCAGGTTGGCTGGAGCGCCGTGCTGACCCCAGGGGTGAGCTCGGTCGGCGCAGGCCTCCAGCGCGCCGTCAGCAGCGGCACTGGCGTGGCCGCGCGCACCTCGCGTGGCATGTGCGGGCCAGGCGATGGCGGCAGCAAGGATAGCTGCCACGCGGCCGAGGGCCGCGCGACCATCGTGCACATCAATGGCGTCGTGCCTGGAGGCTTCCTGCTGGGCTCGGTCTACCTGGACAACGACGACGTGGGCGAGCACAGCCAGAGCGTCTTGCAGCAGGTTGGAGCCACGCTGAAGTGCACTGGCAAGCCCTGGGTCCTGGCGGGGGACTGGAACATCGAGCCTGACAGGTTCCACTTCCGCGCGGGGCACTGGCTGCGCAAGCTGGGCGGGCACGTCGTCGACACGGGCAAGGGCACCTGCCAGCACTCCCCCGTCAAGGAGCCATCTGAGCTCGATTGGTTCATCGTCAGCGTAGATATGCTGGACCTCGTCAGCGGGTGCGAGCGCCTCAACATGACGGAGCAGGGCTACGCCAACCCGTGCAGGCCCCACATCGGGGTCAAGCTCTCCTTGGCTTGTCAGGGCGACATTGGCCAGTCATTCCGCGTCAAAGGCCCCACAGCCTTTCCCAAGGACAGGCCTTATGGGCCTATGCCAGCCAAGGAGTGGAACCACGACGAGTTGCGGGACGCTATCGGCGTGGGGGAGGACACGCAGGCCATGACGGAGGTATACCGCGCCCTGTGCGAGGGAGTGGAGAACGAGCTCGTCTGGATCTACCAGATCCCGCCTGACGACGCCAGTTTGCACCGTGGCCGTGGGGGCCCGCCGAGCTTCAGCTTCGGCACGCAGGCCAGGGCGCGCCCCATCAAGGGGCCCAAGGCCAGCTACAAGGGCAAGAAGCTCATGCATCTGAGCGACTATTTCACGCAGCTCCATCAGCTCGTCGGCGGAGGCTCGGATGCCGTTTCTTCGGCAGGGCTCATCCAGTGCCAGCTGGACAACGACGAGCGGGCGGCGGAGCGTATGGAGGCCAGGGCAATCAAGCGCTACAAGCGGGTGCTCGGGCGCCGTGCCCGCGGGTGGGTCTCCAACCCCAGCAACCCCGACCACTACGCGGACGAGAACGAGTGGTTGGAAAATTGCGTGCCCTACATCTTTCGCATGCTGGGGCTGCCGACGCACATTGCGACGGGCCTGGCCCAGAACTTTGGGCGTCGCCTGCAGACGGCCAGGGAAGTATGCGAGTCTGCCTGGCGTCGCGGCGGCACAGGCAGGCATGAGCTGGCGCGCATTCTTCAGCAGCTAGGCCTTCTCGACTCCGACTGCCGGGAGGAGGAGCTGCGCAGGACGGTGGACAGCTACCACGAGTCCAGGCGTTGGCTGGAGGAGCGGGGTGACTACAGCAGGCCCCTCCCAGGCGCGCCCATCGTCCACGGCTATCCCGAGACGGAGAATGGCATACGCGACGTCGCTCCCCTACCACCAGTGCTTCGCAGGCTTGCCACCTGCCCAATGGACGCGGGGGGGTGGAGTGCCATCGAGGTGGGTGGGGCAGGCGCCAGGCGCACACTGGCGCGACTGGCCAACGGCTGGCTGCCGCGCCTGCACGCCCCCGACGCGCAGCAGGACAAGGTGGAGTGGATGGACCTCTGCACGCACTACGCCTACGAGCGCCTCAGCCAGTACGAGGGTGGCAATGGCGACGAGGGTGAGCAGGTCGGCGTCACAGAGGGCCAGTCTGACGGGGCGGGGATGGGAGCCGCATCTGCGGACGGGGACAGCGCGAGCCCACCCCAGCCCCAAGTGAACTCCTTCGCGAGCCTCGCAGCGGCAGCGGCAGCCAGCAGTGCGAGGGCCACTGGAGAGGGCGCCAGCGATGCGTCGGCGTCGGGGGCGGGAAGGGGAGCCGCATCAGCGGAGGGTATCAGCGTGATCCCACCCCCGCCCCCTCGCGCCAGCTCGGCTCGGCCGTTTGGCGAGCGAGCGGCAGCCCGCTGGGCTCGGGCAGTCGACATGTGCGAGGACAGCTGGCAGGCCTCCGAGGGCGCGCGCAACAAGCACGCGCGCAAGGTCCGCGAGTTGGAGGCCAGCGACCCCGACGCCTGGGCCATCGCTGACGACGAGCACTACTGCTACCTGCAGGGCGCAAAGCAGTTCATGCGGTACCACGGCGGCAGGCGCGAGGGCAGCGACTGCAGCTCCGACGGCGACGTCAGCAGCAGCGGCGACGGAGCAGCGCAAGCGAGCAGCAGGGCGCCCAAGCCCCCGTCCACGGTGGGCCTTCCCCTCGGCGCCCAGCGGGCAGCACGCGTGGCCCTGGCCGCCGAGTGCCCCAGCCTGCCCCCCTTGGCCGACTGGGCCGCTGAGGCCAGGGCCGAGGCGGAGGCCGATGGAGCAGCCTTCGCCGTCATTCGAGGCCAGGGCTGCAAGGAGAGGATCCGTCACTCCATGGCTGAAGGCGCAGGCGGGCTCCACGCCTATCGGCGCGGGCCCAGGGCATGGGCCCCTGACGACGAGTACAATGGGGCCCCAGCCCATGCCCCAGACCGAGTGAAGGTGGTGGCGAAGCAATGGTCAACAGAGGTCTGGCGGGTCAGGCGAGACCGTGACAGGTTTCGGCCGCAGCTCCCGCGCTCTGGCGGCGAGGCCCTCCCCAGGCCCTCAGCCGATGAGCTGCGCATGGCCGCCAGGACCTTCAGGCACGGCACTGGCGTCGGCAGCGACCGCCTCAACCCACGGAAGGCCGCGGACCTCAGCGACGAGCTTCTGGAGGCAGTCGTTGACTTCGGGATGAAGTGTGAGGAGATCGGCGGCTGGCCCGACGTCATCACGGACCCGCTTGTGGTCATGCTTCCGAAGCCCCAGGGCGGGTTTCGGCCCATTGGGCTGCTGGGCTGGCTCCCTCGCCTTTGGAGCCGAGTCCGTCAGCCCGTGGCGCGGCGCTGGGACTCGCAGATTGACCCTGGCGTCGCAGGCGCCTTCTGGGGGGGGCGCGGCCGCGCGGCCGAAGAGGCCGTCTGGCGGCAAGCCCTGCGCGCAGAAGCCGCACACGCACGTGGAGAAGGAGCAGCAGCGGCGCTCATCGACCTATGGAAGGCCTACGAGCTCGTGGACCTGGCCATCATCCAGGGCCGTGGCGCCCTGGCTGGTTACCCTCGGGGCCTGCTGGGCATGGCCCTCACCCTGTACGCGGGGGAGCGCCGCTTCATGCTTGATGGTAGCGTGTCCGAGCCCTACCTGCTGGATGCGGGACTCATCGCGGGGCGCTCGCATGCGGGCCGGCTCCTCAAGTGCGGCCTGCTGGTGCTCGCGGACGAGCATGCGCGGCTGTGGCGGGCGCTCGGGCCCAGAGTCACCCTCGCCATCATGTTCGACGACTGCTGCGTCGGCTGCCACGGACCGATGGCACAGGTCGCAGCCTACGTGGCCCAGGCGACGAAGGCGGTCATCTCACAGCTGGAGGCCCTAGGCTGCAAGGTCTCAGCAGCAAAGAGCGAACTGCTGGCCAGCTCGCCAGAGCTGGCATCGCTGGTCGCCAAACTAATGGGAGGCATCGCCTTCCCCATCGCCGACTCGGTCAAGAACCTGGGGGTCGACTACTGCCTCGACGGCCAGGCGTTCGTGGTCCTCGAGAAGCGGCATACGAAGGCGGCATCCCAGTTGCAGAGGTTGCACGCCATCCGCTCGCAGGAGACCCCAGCAGCAGCTCGAGTGGCGAACACTGGTCTGCGGCCTGCTACTCGCTA